TTCCTCCCAGATTCATTTGCCAAACCGATGACTCTTCCAGATCAAACCCTCAGTTCGATCTCACTTTAATTGATCAAAATCTGGCCGCTACAATTTGCTCCACATTGTCTTCTTCAATTCTGCCTTATGTCTTGAATCTTGAATCATGTGCTGACATTTGGTCATCACTTGAGAAAAGATTACAAGCTACCAATCGTTCGAGAGTTATTCAACTCAAGAACGAGCTTCACAACTTGTCCATGGGCTCATCTACCATGACCTAGTATCTCCAATATATCAAGATTCTGGTAGATAACATCAATGCGGTAGGATCTACCTTAGATGAGGAAGACATTCTTCTTTACACTTTTAATGGCCTACTCGCTCAATATCAGGCATTTAAAACTTCAATTCGCACCACTCTATCTCCTATCTCTCTTGACGATATGTATTCACTTCTTTTAAGTGAAGAGATACTGTGAGAGCTCGTTCCTTTGTTTTTCTCTTTCCTGGATCTGATTTTTCCCTCCCAGGATCGTCCAGGCCGATTTGGGATCGTCCTGGGACGATCAGTGCATGGAAAAATCCCGAGAGCAAGGGTTTTTGACAAATTAATTATCGGCCTGAAATATCATCCTGGACGATTGAAAATTATTCATATCGTCCTAGATGATGTGGCAATCGGCCAGGACGATCAGACTGATGTTATAAGGAAATCAGCTCGATTTGAGGAGAGAGAAAACACTTTTTATAAAATCAAAATATCTGAGGAGAGAGAAAGAGAAGAAAAGCAAAGGAAAAGCTGGATTTCGGAGGCCGCGAAGCGCTTTTCGTCCGTCGTCGCTGTTGAGCAATTTGTTTATCTCGTGGTAAAGACTCCGAATCCTGTTTCTGTTTTCGAAAATATTGAGTTTTGATCGTTTTGGGCACAGATTTGTGTTCTTGTTACCGATAAACGCGCCGCATTTTGTATTGACGAAACTTTCACCGAACAACTTTTGATATGTTATTGATATGATTATTCTACACGTTTTGAGTAGTTTCTGAAATGATTCTACCAGTTATTTTGGGTTCTACGCAATTTTGATCGAATAGATAATTATCAGGATGTTGATTGATGTTGCTTCAGTAGAATAGAAGTCTTATAATATTGTTGTGAATGTTCTGTGGTAATTTGGTAAAATTGTGATTTTAGGAATTTTTGTGTAAATTCCGTATACTGCCGTTATGCCGCTGAATTTTCGTACGATTTCCGATTTTCCGAAATTGATGATTTGAATTGATATGCATACGAATGTGATTATCTGATTATTGATACTGAAAGACAAGTGGAGCCTGGTTGAACCGTTGGTTGGAGATTGACTTGGCCTGTACAGGATGGTGGGCCGACGGGCTTTCCTTTAAACTATTGATCATTAATATAACGATTGAGAGTCATAAGGAGATTGATATGCCGACGGGCACAGAGTGACGACTCTTATTGAACCAACGTATGGATTCCTACAACAGCACTATGGATTATTGATAGCAGTGATTATACTTGTCCAGTAAGATTATTGTATTGAAATGCATGTGTACGGCATTGACTCGTGATGGTTTTATTGTTTTATAGATTTGGATTTATTGCTTTATTGATTTGGATTTACTGACGAATTTACGGCCTTATTGTTATCGTACGATTTCATTGATATTGATTGATACTATCGCTATTACTGTATGGATATGGATACTATAATTGATTCATTGATACTATTGTTTCTACACTGTATTGAACTGCGGCATTGGATTCATTGCTAGTATAGACTGAGCTTTATTGTATTGATTTGATGATTTCATACCGATTGACCAGATAGTATTGTTTTGATTGATACGATGGATTTGACTGATCGATTGATTTCCTACTGTTTATTGATTCTTCTACCGCTGCATTGACTACTGATTTGGATTCATTGATCATGTGCAATAGACTGTTGTAGATTTGATTGACTGACATGCATATTGTTTCCAGTATCGTGCTTTGATTTCAGTTATAGGTATTAGGTGACCTGCTGGGCTTTTTGAAGCTCATTATATGTGGTTAATATTTTCAGGTCAGGGCAAGGGAGCAGGAGATTGAGGTTGATCAGAAATCTCCAGGTTTTTGTTCTTTTGGTTATAGTGATTCTTTTGTACTCATGACAGGATAGATTTCAGTTCATAGTGTAGCTCCTGAGTATTGTATATGATCTTTTGAGATATGAATCGACCTGTACATTGATGTTATAAATGTTATAAATTTTTGCTAGACTGTTTGTTTGAGGTTATAGATAGCTCTGGTAAATGGTTTTAATGAATTGATTGAGATTCTTTCCAAGTTAGATCTTGGGGCGTCACAGATACACCTCTCACATGAATCACCCAAAGAAAGCAATACCTCAAATCTTACAACTGCTCTTTTCTCATCTCGTGGCCATGGAAGAAACAGGGGTCAATCAGGTCCCAATTATGGCAGAGGTCGAAACAACGCAAACTCATCTCGTCCGTCATCAGCAGGATACACAATCTGCCAAATATGCGATAAACGCGGTCATCAAGCCAATGTTTGCTGGCACAGGTTTAATCATGATTACCCTACTCCCACGGCTAATCCTCAAGCTCTTCTTACCACCTCATCCAATCCAGTGTCAGACTGGATCTTGGACATAGGTGCGTCTGCTCACCTGACAAACAAAATAGACAACATATCTCAGTCATCTACCTATCGCGGTTCTGACTCTGTCGCCATCGGCGACAGCCGTAACATCCCTATCGCTCACTCCGGCTCTGGACTCCTTCTGACACCAAATTGTAAACTCCTGCTTCAAAATCTGCTACATTTACCTAAAAGTTCATACAACTTACTTTATGTTTCTAATCTTACAAAAGATAACAATCTTTCTATCTTATTTGATGAATCTGGCTTTACACTTAAGGATTGGACAACTGAGGCTACCATCCTCTCGGGACCATGCCGCGCGGAGATCTACTCCATTTCTTCCTCCTCTAACACTTGTCATCCTGCTCAGGCGCTAACTGCCATCATCCCTTCTCATATTCGCTGGCATCTTCGCTAAGGACATCCTCACCAACAAGTGATGAATCTCATTTCCAAGAATAATGCTGATCTTGAAATACCGTGCTCTAATTTCTCTTGCTCTACTTGTAAAACATGTAAAGGACATAAAATTCCTTTTTCTCCTTCTACAAATCACAATTACAAACTGCTAGAACTCATTCATACTGATGTTTGGGGTCCAGCCCCATTTCCCTCTACTCAAGGCTTCTGATACTATGTATCGTTTATTGATGATGCTTCTCACTTTACGTAGGTCTACCCTCTACATCACAAATATGATGTACTTAATATGTTTGTTAAATTTCATGTTTGGATCACAAATCACCTTAATCGTAAAATTAAATTATTAAGAAGTTATGGTGGCACTGAATACCTCAACAATAATTTTCACAATTACTTAAATACAAACGACATTTCCCATCAAAGAAGTTGTATGTATACTCCGGAACATAATGGACTGGTTGAGAAAAACATCGTTATATTATTGAAAATACTTGCACCTTAATTCACACAACAGCGTTACCTTATCATTTATGGCTTGACACTATGTTAACTGTTGTCTACTTAATCAATCTTATGCCTACACCAAACACGTTCAACAAATCACCATATCAACTCCTATACAGCAAAATTCTGACCTACAATCATCTCAAAATCTATGGATGCGTGTGTTATCCTCTTCTCCCACCTCACACACGTCACAAACTTTCTCCTAAATCCATTTGATGTGTCTTTCTTGGCTATATTCCCTCTTATAAGGGCTACAATTGTCTTGATCCATCAATAGGGAAAATTCACATTTCCAGGCACGTATCCTTCGACGAACACATCTTTCCCTATTCAGATCTTCATAACAAGTCACAACATTCTATCATTCCCAATCCCACCACTAATCCTTGTCTTCTTATGCCCACTACCATGTCCACACCCAACCCCACTAACTCCACATCCACGATCTCTGCTACTAAAACCAATATACAATCTGATCAAGTCTCAGACAGCTAGCACCTCTCACTCTCCGATACTTCAAGCCTCTCCACTCTTCCAACATCAAATCTCGAAACAGGCCATCCCGACGCATCACATGACTACTCAATCCAAAACTGGACATCTTAAGCTCCGTCAATTTCTCAACTTGCACTCGTCTATTGATTATGACCCCACGACCTACACATAGGCTATCAAACATCCTCATTGGCGAGCTGCAATGTCATCTGAATTCCTATCTCTTCAACAATAAGGAACCTGGAAACTCGTCCCCCCTCCACCCAACACTCCTATCTTAGGCTGTCGCTGGACATCCAAAACGGAATACGAATGGAACTATATCTCGTTTCAAAGCTCGCTTGGTTGTCCAAGGCAACCACCAAGAATATGACCTCAATTATACCGAGACATTCAGTCCGATAGCAAAATTTCCCTCAATACTTGTTCTTCTAACTATCGCCATCACCAATCAATGGCCTCTTCCCCAACTTGATGTTACAAACGCCTTTGTACACGGCTCTCTTCATGACACTATTCACATGAAACAACCCAAGGGATTTGAGGACAACATGTATCCTAAGTATGTCAGCTTACTTCAAAAATTGTTATATGGTCTCAAGCAGGCTCCTCGTGAATGGTTTCAAACTTTTTCAAATCATCTCAACGCATTAGGATTTCAACAAAGCAAATATGATCCATCACTATTTATCTTCCATCAAAACTCCATTGAATCATATATATTAATATACGTTGATGACATTTTTCTGACAGGTAACAACACATCTTTTTTCTTGATACAATTGTCTCTCTCAGCACTAATTCATCGATCAAAAACCTTGGTCATCCCTCTACATTTCTAGGCATCCAAATTCTCACTCATAATAAACAATTACATCTTTCCCCATCCTCCTATGCTCAATCGATCCTTCAGCGTGCAGGAATGGACAGATGTAATCAAATAGCCAATCCCTCCTCCATAAAGCCGCCAGCTGCTCTACCTCCTGATCTTCTCCTGTTCAATCCAACGAAGTACCGTCTCCTCACCGGATCACTACAATATCTCACCATTACCATACCTGATATCTTCTTCACTGCGAACACCTTATGCCAACACACGCACAATCCTTCATCTCTCCACTATCTCCTCCTAAAATGTCTCCTTCGCTACATTAAAGGAACCATATCCTTCGGTCTTCCCATTTCGGCTTCATCTTTCACTCTCTCAGCTTACGCAGATGCAGATTGGGCTACAGACTCAGATACTCGACGCTCTACCTCGGGCTACTGTTGCTTCCTAAGTAAGAATCTTATTTCTTGGACTGTCAAAAAGCAGCACACCGTAGCCAGATCCTCTACAAAAGATGAGTACCGCTCTTTGGCCGCTGCTACCGCCGAAGCCATCTAGCTTCGTCGTCTCCAAGCCGACTTCAACATTCTCCAACGCAATCCCACCAAAATTCACTGTGACAACAATTCGGCTTTCGCTTTGGCTAACAATCCCATCTTCCATGCCAGAACGAAACACATTGAGATGGATTTTCATTTCATCCGTGATCACATACAGTCTAAAGAAATACCCGTGGTTCCCATCAGCAGCGTCGATCAGTCAGCCGACTCAGCCGACATCTTCACCAAGGCTCTTCCTACGCCTAGATTCACCAATCTACGATCCAAGCAGTGCAGCTCTCACCATTAGCTTGCAGGGAGGTGAAAGACACAACAGACTCTTGTGACTCTATAGCCATGTATACTTCAACCAATAACAAACCAACACGTGTAAAGCACACACCATTCAAATCTATTTAATACTGTAGAAAGTCTTGAGAAAGAAGAGAAGATGAAATGAATTACAGAGAGCTTGTATGCAAAACCGTAGAGAAGAAATAAGAAAACTTCATTGTATCTTATTACAGCTTATAACTATATATAGTTTTAGATACCGGTAGTTACCGCTACATATGCGGTCATACATAATTATTTACAATTATGTAGCTATGGTTCTAATATCCCCCGTCAAACTGTTGGGTCTAGGAGTGACGCTCAGTTTGGATCTTAGTTGCTGAAACCTCGGTGTAGATAGGGATTTGGTGAAAATATCGGCTGGCTGATCAACCGTATTGATTGGAAGCAGTCGAATCGTGCTATGATAAATGTGATCACGAACAAAGCGATGGTCTATTTCGATGTGTTTTGTGCGAGCATGAAACACTGGATTATTAGCCAAAGCTATGGCAGATGTGTTGTCGCAATATAGATCAGTTGGTGCCGATTGTTGAATACCGAAATCTGTGAGGACTCGTCGCAGCCAGACAACATCCGCAGTGAGTGCGGCTAGAGCCCTGTATTCCGACTCAGTAGATGAGCGTGCTACCATCATCTGTTTCTTCACTGTCCAAGATATGAGCGTATCTCCTAGGAATGAGCAATATCCGGAGGTTGATTTTCGTGATGTGGGATCGCCTGCCCAATCTGCATCTGAAAAGGAAGACAACATTAAGTTAGATTTAGTAATTGGAATACCATAGTTAATAGTACCTCTAATGTAACGTAATAAATGTTTGAGTAGATAGATATGTTGAGGTAACGGTTGATGCATATGTTGTGAAAGTAGATTAACACTGTAAGAGATATCCGATCTTGTAAGTGTAAGATATTGGAGAGATCCTGTAATTCTTCGGTATATAGTTGGATCACCGAGAATTGAATCTGCAGAAAAATTAGAGGGCAGCTTTGTACAAGTTGGGTTCGCCAGGGATTTGCAATCACTGAGTTGAGCGACTTCCAAAATAGAGGCCGCATAGTTCTGTTGAGAAAGAAAAAATTGATTAGGATTTCGTTCGATTTGAATACCCAAGAAGGAGTGAACTTCACCCAGTTGTTTCATATTGAAATGTTGATGAAGCTGTTGGATGATGTTGCTGATTAGAGTATTATTGTCGCCGGTTATGAGGATGTCATCCACATATACAAGTGTGAGGAGAGACGGGTCAGATAAACTATGTTTAAATCCCATAGATACTAGATGTGCCGTTAGTGTGTTGTACCACTGCCGTGGTGCTTGTTTAAGACCATAGATGGCCTTATGTAAGTGACATACATAATCCGGGTTGATAACATCCACAAACCCTTTTGGTTGTGCCATGTACACTGTTTCTTGTAATTTTCCGTGAAGAAAGGCATTCGCAACATCTAGTTGCTGAACCGACCAATCATAATGTACAGCTATGGCAAGCAGGATCCGAATTGTCGGAAGTTTAGCCACAGGACTAAATGTCTCCGTGTAGTCCAACCCATACTCTTGGTGATTGCCTTACGCGACCAGCCTGGCCTTGTAACGGGCAATTGACCCATCAGCATGGAGTTTCGTACGATAAGTCCATCGGCATCCTAGTACCGAGGCGTTTGGAGGAGGCGGCACAAGACTCCATGTTCCTTGCTGTTGTAATGCAAAAAATTCAGATGCCATGGCTTTCCTCCATTCCTGATGTTTGTTTGCTTCAGTGTAGTTCGATGGATCTGCAGGATGCTGAGATACAGATTGATTATGAATTAAATTCAATCGAGATAAGGGTTTAAGAGAACCTGTACGTTGTCTAGTTATCATGGGATGAACCGATGTCGTTGCCTGATTGATAGAGATAGGGGCAGCTGATGTAACCGGTTCAGTGTGTAGTTGAGAGGATAAGTCTACTGAATTGGTATTGTTTGAGACGTTCTGTATAGGTGCTGATGGAATGGTATCATGCTGAGGTTGATTATATGCTTGTACCGACGCAGGTGTAAGAAACATATGAGGTATGTTTTCCAATTGCTTGGTGGAGGGGTTCATGTTACTAGCAAACGGAAAACATGATTTGTCAAATTTAACATGTCTGGAAATGACCACCTTGTTCGACACAGGATCAAGACATTTGTATACTTTATATTGATCCGAGTATCCTATGAAAATTGATTTGTGCGCTGTATGTTGGAGCTTGTGTTTGAACTGGGTTGGAATCAGCGGAAAACACGCACACCCGAAGATGCGTAAGTGATCATAGTCGGGTTTGCTTTTATGAAAAATTTCAAATGGAGAGACATTGTTAGTTGTGGAAGACGGCATGCGATTTATAAGATAAGTAGATGTAAGAACTGCATCTGGCCAATAGATATAAGGAGCAGATGCACGGTGAAGTAGCGTCCTGGTCGTTTCAATAAGATGCCTATGTTTTCGTTCCGCGACTCCATTTTGTTCAGGAGTATACGGACACGACATCTGATGATGTATACCATGTGTGTAAAGAAACTGTTTGAACGACTTATTGCAATATTCGCCGCCGCCATCTGTACGCAAAAATTTTATCTTACAGGATGTTAGTTTCTCAACTTTTGTTTTAAAATTTATAAAAATAGAAAATACATCCGATTTGTGTCGCATTGGAAATTGCCACATAAAACGAGAATGATCATCAACAAAAATAACGTAGTAAAGAAAACCAGAGTGTGAGAGCGTTGGGGCCGATCCCCATACATCAGAATGCACAATTTCAAGAATCAACTTTGTCTTTTTAGATCGTTGTTCAAATGGCAGTTTATGATGCTTAGAAACATTACAGATTTGACAACAAGATTTATGTAATTCTATCCTAAGATGCTTGTTATTAGATGCAATCCTAGCAGTAGTGTTGTGGTTGGGGTGGCCCAACCGATCATGCCACAAAGAGACGTCGTCAGTAGTAGAAGAAAGAACACAATTGCTGGGCGGATCTGCAGTTTGCCGAATGGAGTAGAGACCATTACAGCACGGGCCTTGCAGAATAATTTGTTGAGTCATCAGATCCTTTAACTGATAGCCATGAGGATCAAAGGTAATTACAAGGTTATTATCCTTGGTTAGTTTGGAAATAGAAACAAGATTATATTGCAAGAAAGGAGAATGTAAAATATTTGAGAGCTTAAGCTTACGAGAGGGAGTCGGTAGCAGGCCGTTGCCAGAATTGGCAATGCTGACCAAACTCCCGTCACCTATGGTGATGCTGTCGGAACCGGTGTAAGGATGAGAGATCGACATGTTGTCCAGTGACTTCGTCATATGAGAGGACGCACCGGAATCAAGATACCAGTCATTGTATGTCCCTTGTGAGCCGGCAATGAGTGCTTTGTTGGCTGGTTTGGAAATTCTTGGCGTGTACTGCTCATTTAGGCGATGCCAACATTCCATTGCACTGTGACCTTTCTTGAGACAGATTTGGCAAGTGACTGGAGCACTGGACGTCATTTCTTTGGCTGAATGCGAAAATTGTTGTTGTTGTTGTCCACGGCCACGGGATCTTTTGATCCTACCGCGATTTGTGTACAGTGTCACCGGTTGATCGTCATTTGCACTGTGTCTTGCCAAGTCGTTTGCCAAGTGAATTTCTTCACTTATGAGGAGAGGGTAAAGCTGATCCAGACTCAGGGGAGTGGTCATTGTCCTTATGTAAGTCTTGAACGATTGATAGGAGTTGGGTAACCCATTGATAATGTGGAGGATAATATCCTCCGGTTCAATCTGCGAACCAGCCGTAGCGATTTTATCAACTATGGACTTGATCTCTGTGAGATATTGGATCATAGTTGAGTTCTTGAGCGAGAGATGGTAGAGTTCATTCTTAAGCTGAATGACGCGAGACCGGTTTGTCGATTGAAACCTCGTTTCAAGAGTGTTCCAAATGGAGGCGGTGGATTCAAGATTTAAAACATAAGGAAGAAGAGACGCAGAAATTGTCGAGCAAATTGCCGCAGATAAATTCTGATCGACAAGAATCCATTTCGTGAAGGCCGGATTCAGAGCCGAAGTACCATCAGGTTTGGAGATGAGTTTTACCGGCACTGGACTGTTTGAATCAAGAAACGACTCGAAGCCGTTTGCGCGGCAGATCTTTGCAATTTGTGATCGCCATATCGAGTAGTTCTCAGTAGTAAGCGAATTCTGGACGAAGTTCTTGAGATTTGCAAGCACGAACTTCAGGTTGACGGCTGTGTCGGTGGTTTCCGACATGGCTGTTTCCGTATTATCGAAATGCTGAGTAGAAGAAGACGAAGCCATGGAATGCCCTGGATCTTAATCCATATCTGATACCATGTAGAAAGTCTTGAGAAAGAAGAGAAGATGAAATGAATTACATAGAGCTTGTATGCAAAACCGTAGAGAAGAAATAAGAAAACTTCATTGTATCTTATTACAGCTTATAGCTATATATAATTTTAGATACAGGTAGTTACCGCTACATATGCGGTCATACATGATTATTTACAATTATGTAGCTATGGTTCTAATAAATACCCTGTTTGTATTGCTCTCATACAATGAATAGATTTCCATGTTCTCTGTTCTGTTCTCCAGTCCTCACCTTCTTTAACATCATATAAAATTAATATTACATCATGTCGATTTCAAGTAACTAAATAATAGTTAAATTACTGATTAGTAAAAGATTATCAAATTGATTAATGCTAATTTAGAATGGTTAATTAGTTTTCTGATAGACAGGATCAAAACGTTGGGAAAAGAAAAAAAAAACCAGGTCAAATTACTAATATCCTGCCATATGACAGCATTTGCTTCTGCTTTTTGGGGGTATTGATGCAAATTGGAAAGGAAAGCTCATTCCGGCTTCACTGATTTAAAAAAAAAATCATTTGTTGGCCATTTTAATGCAGATTAAATAGAATTTTTATAATTAATTAACGGGCGGATCAAGTGGTTATATTTCTTATGTTGTTATTATGTTAGTCATCAAATTAGACTTGTTTTTTTTTTCCTAACTAATGCAGCACGTCTAATTACAAAACAAAATATGCTCAGTATTGTTGGAATAGCTCCTGCCCACTGCCCAACACTGTGTTAATCAATTCCCCCTTTTCTTTTTTTTTTTTGTGACAAAAAAACTAAGTGTATCGAATACGCTGCTATTAATTAAACCTTGATCGTCTCATTCAATCTTAAACATTCAAAACATATACATAAATTACATTCATGAGAAAATGGTAAACAATTATGTTGTTTGGGATGACTTTTTTTTATATTTATTATATTAGTTTTTTAGTGCAAATTTTTTTTAATTTTTGTAATAAAAATTGTTTTAAGAAGCAACAAAAAAATCATCCCAAACAAAAAAATTTTCTTGAAATGATTTAAATTCCTTCGGTGCTATAAATTACTCTTCATAAGATTGGGAATCTTACAATACCAACAATGTGCTAATTTTCTAAAAATAAATTACTTCAAAAAATTTACTGAATTTTTTTAACCGTATTAATGCATAATTTTCTATTTATATATATTGCTTGCTAAATAAAAGATTAGTGTACGAAAAATTTGAGAGGATTTTAATAAATTGAACTGGTCATATGACTGGTTTCAGTTCTCACACGATTGTCATATTACTATGTTAGTTTTATTAATTTTTAATGTTATTATTATTTATCACTTCATCTGGTTCAATCTCGGTCGATCTGTTCGAACCGTAAACCTCTCATTCTTCTAATTCGTTGTTCGATCCGATTTTTACAATATTGACAAAAACATGTTATGCTGTACAAATTAAAATTAGAAGATATGGAAAAGAATTTTGGTGTTTTCAAAATTGTCTGCAATTATTCAAAAACCATTTGCACTAATTTCCATGTTTCCATTACTGTGAATATTTGTTCATTACCTATTCCCATTTCCTAGGCCTCCTAGTTACGGTGAAAATTTTAAGTAGGAGTTATATTTGTAGGATAATGAAACCTGCAAGAACAGCAACGAAGTGGAGAAGAAGGAAGAACGGAATGAGAAAGAAGAAGCAGATCTTGATTCCTCTCGGTTACAACAGGACCTATCTATATATAGACAAATAGAGATTGGCACTTAACCATACAACCAATCACATAGTGCCACCTCAATACATATCTTAATAACAAGAAATACATTATTGTTTTATATCTAATATACCCATGCAAACTGATGATTCTTTGAGAACCGTCAGTTTGGATCGTAGTTGATGAAATCATGGAGTGGAAAGAGATTTCATAAGGATGTCAGCCACTTGATCGATAGTACTGATTGGAAGAAGTTCAATGTGGCGGTTATGAATGTGGTCACAAACAAATCGTTGATTGGCTTCTAAATGTTTCGTG